CGACCAATAGGATTTGGGGGCTGGGCCTATTTAAAATTTCTTTGTTTTGAAGCTACACTGTCCCTCCCCCGCGATTGCCTGAGTATTAATTATCTTAATGAAACCCAACGGTTAAGGTTAGTAGCTTTCAGATTAGCAGCTAAAACGGTGTCAGTACTATTTAAACGGCACTCGAAAAATCACGGACGAAGCTTAAGATAGTTAAACATAGTACTTAATTGCAACTTCTGAGTAATATAATGCACTTTTTTAACAAAATATTAATGTTATGCTAGTCTAAAAATAAATCTTCAGTTGTGCCGAGTACAATAATTAGGAGAAAGCCATGGATATTAGGGAATTAARCGTATTATGTCAATAGTATTTTATTTTGAATCAGCCATGATTAACATAGTGCCTGATATTTACAACGGTTGAAAGAGAAACCTCTCGACTGACTCGAGTATCTTTTAATGTGTTTCACTATTAAGTAGTTTGAACGACAGCTGAACTGACTGACGGGGTACGATAAAACTACTGGACTCCTGAGTGCTACAAATTATTGTACAATTTGTATATGCAGAAAGTAAATTATGGTCAAACTTATCGACGCTTCCAGCGATACGTTAATTCTTAGTGGTGGTAAATGGCCACAACAGGTCGACAATAGAACAAGTCAAACAATTTAAAAGTTTCAGTGCTTTTTATACGTACAATCTTTGAAAAACGGTCAAGTTGTCAATCGCTGTCTCTCTGGGAGACAATGCTGAAGCAGGATCTTTTGATCGTATTAGTTTTAGATCTGTACAATTGCTACAAATGAGATGACATCATATTGAATTTCTCGTACTCTGTCATCGGTAGAGTACAAAGCTTATAGAGGGTCCTAGCAATGTTTACACTTAATCCATCCTCTCYCCAAGCATCAGTGAAAATGYTGATTTCCGGACCACTTGACGTCAGATGTTTAGTGAGATGGAATTGAAAGTAAAAATTCAAGTCATTAATTGATCCGCGCATTTGACTAGCAAGTTAGTAATGTATACAGAACGAGAGMGCGTGTTGTATCGGGTGATACTTAAAGATCCGAGCCRAAGGTCTGTATCAGGAAAACGTTGAATGATAATCAGCCTCGCACTCCCCTGAAAATATTCAAATCCGCCCCCCAACTTTGAGCTTGCTGCCCCTTTTATCCAATATAAAGGTATAATCACGTGATTAGATTCTCAGTATATCATTGGCTAATRACATTATGAATYATTAATGAGTTTGATAACGTCATATATTAACTCCTGACTGGTCATCTACCTAATTTAAAATATTTCAATTGCACATACAAATCCAGTAGTTTTGTTTAACGACTGACTCTCTGTAGGCTATTCTTCGTGTGCAACAAATGAACAGGAATCCCATGAGAAATAAAGAACAAAGCTATCGCCGCCATGTTGGATGAATGAACAAGAGAAACTAATGAGAAATGCTTTGTGATTTTCATCCAACATGGCGGTGATGACATAACTTGCACGCCAAGAATATATAAGAGAGTATTGTCGTATGAATACGCGGATTCTAGACGCTACGTATACATATCTGTGACGCGGCCAAACTGAGAAATAATCTTCCTCGTGTTGCGTGCTAATTGGTCGATAGATTTTACCGCATTATTTAAATTAGTGGACACAGCTATTTAGACATAATTAACAAATTGCGCGCTGTTTTGAGTTGTGTAAACTCTTGTTGACGCACTCTTGACGGCATAAAATGTTCAAAACTGAGAAATGTCAAATCTCTGGACCAAATTTTATGACGTCAAGAATGTGTCACTAGAGGACATACAATGAAAGAACCGCGCGTTCAATTTTTTTTAGATCTCATTCTTATAAGTACCGAAAATCATTCTTTTCTTTCGACCCGAGTTCACTCTGTTTCAGCYGAGGTCGCCCGCGATACGCTATGGTGTCAGCGCACTGTGTGCGTCCTTATTTACAGGCAGGAATGTASAAATACTTACCTCATTATGGGGTTTAGAGAGCGTTAGATTGACTATTTTKCCAAACGCTAATTGCCGTCATACAAATTTGATTGCATTACTTCATCCTTGATTACAAACTTGTAAGCATTAGTACGGTAAGACCAATCAAACTTGACAGGGTTCACGTATTTGATCCGTAAATTTCAAGTCAGTCTTTTTCATTCGTCTATAACTCAGGTCTTTTTTTAGAGTATTTAAAAATACTCTATCTAACTCAAAGTCACTTTGGTTTCACACTTAGACAATAGATGCATCTACTTCACAGTATCCTTATAGAATCATTAGTTCCGTAATTTTTAGATTGTTTTTTCTCGATCCTCTCTGTGATGACTGTAGTCTCTAAGACCCTAACGCGGGAAGCCCCTTACCAGGGGCTGGCTGTACGAATGATATACACAAAAATCCCCTACACAAAACAAACAAACAAACAAACAAATAAAATAACCATAATGCAAAACATCAAAAACAACAAATCTGACAGTCAAATCTCGCTCGTAACTCCCATTATGGTATATATGCTTCTTTTTACGCTCCTAAATTCCAATATTTTTCGAATCGACTTCATCAAGACCGCGCACGTGCTTAGTCACACGCGAAAACAAATAGTACTAATTACGACAGTGTTGATTAGTGCTTAAAAGGCCAATACTTACTGAGCAGAATCGCAAAGCATTTCTCGCTAGTCGTCAAAGTCCATCATATCGACGGGAGTTCGATTTTCTGGTGATTATTGGCCGTTTGGTTTCAAATGAAACTAAGAATAAATGGATTTTCCGCTGTTCATGACGACTATTGAGTCTGTATTTAATGTTTGTATTGTTTCATTAGTTAAAGTAGTTAATTGTCGTGCACTGTTAGCTAGTTAAAATCTATTCATTCAAAACACAAAAGTCAAGAGATGAATAAGATAAGAAAGAATGAATAACCAGCCTCGAACAGTCATTTCTGATCTACTGTCGAACGACAAGACACGAGGAAAACATGGTGGCCTTTGTTGTGTACGTGGCGCTGCTTTTTAACTTGGCTTGGGGAGCTTCCCTACCCGGTAAGTTTGCAACTATGACGCTGATGCAGAACTTTATTCCTTTAGAAATCGTCAGTTGCTCTTTTAAAGTTTTTTTGTTGTTGGCGTATCGAAACGTACTTCCAACTAGCTAGCTGTCGTATCGAGTCACTTCGTAAAGGCTAAATGGTCAGGTTGAAACTTTCAAGCTCTCTCAGAAAATAGTATTTTTCAGTAAAGTTGACACAAATTTAAAATCGACGCGAAAACGCCAGAGARAAAGTAGAAATTACTTCAGAGGTTAACCTTAAGTTATGTCCATAAGATTTGCAGAAACGCATCATAGGTGGTGAGCAAGCAAAGGCAGCAAACTTTCCATGGTTAGTTGTTATTGACTTGGAGAGTTTGCCTGATGAACCCTGTGGAGGCGCCATTATTGGAGATGATACGATTCTTACCGTGGCTCATTGCTTTGCGAAGGTCAATGCTTCAGAGAAAATCACCGTAACAGTTGGTAAGAAAGCGTCATTTMWATGAATTTTAAAGTTTTGAATAMTTTCTGATAGATAAGTAGTTGGCGGTAGTTTTTGTTTGCTAAATATCTGAATGGGCGTAGTGCATTGTTGACGGGCATTGACTTGCACTGACTGTTTGATGATAAATAACATGCGGTTTTTTAGGAATGGCGGATAGAGATAGTCGCGCACCCAACCAAAAAGTTTACAAAGTTAAGAAATTCRTTTCACACAAAGACTACAAAGAASATTGGATAGGCGAACGTGATTATGACATTGCCATAGTCCAGGTCGACACCAAGATAACTATGAATAAAGAYGTTCAAACTATTCAACTTCCAAAGAAAGGAGGCCCTAAAATTACCAATGGTACCACTTGCACTTATGCCGGTAAGTTTATTTCTGACAGCCACCGCTTATGGTAGTTGAGCTACATTTGCAATGGGCCGGGATAGGGGGAGGCAAGTAAAGTAAATGGTGGAGCTGAATTCGACTTTTATGAAAGCTAGCAAGGGCGTGACTACATGTACTCATGCTAGCATCGAAAATTATCTCAGTCATAATTGTCTCCCAGATCATCGAATCGATGACCAGTACCGTGTTGATGTTGGTGGATCAACAAGCACAGGAAAAAATCGCGCGCTTTAAAGGTTGTAAATTTGATGTAAGTGTCCAAAATTCTGCAAATTTGATGTAAATGATTTCCATTAAATTTACAGAATTTTGAACACTTACATCATATATACATTAAATTTACAGCCTTTAAAGCGCGCGATTTTTTCCAGTGAAGGCTAATAAGGCGTTGATGAAGGGGGATATTGTATTGTTAAATTGTCTACAGCTGTAAGTTGCTCACAAAGCAATTCATCTCGGTTTAAGGTTGGGGGACACTTTTCTTCAATACTTCAGACCCTAAAAACCTCCAATGGCCACAGTTTCCTCAAAAAGAAGATGTACCCATCATCAACAGCGATGAATGCTTTTGGCAATATCTTTTTGAATATTTTGCCGAAGTCAAATCAGAAATTATGGTTTGTACGGGAGGAAGTGCTGCCCCCTGTGAAGGCGATTCCGGGCTTCCTCTAGCGTGTAAGGAGGATGGTGAGTGGGTCTTGAGGGGTGTCGGGAGTTGGTCACGTGGCGGTTGCAAGCCTTCGGAGTAYTCCATATTTACCCGAGTCAGTGCTTTCGTTGATTGGATCAAAAACGCTCAGTCTGATTGACAGGTGAGAGATCGATAAGCACGTGGTTTACAGWTAGACTCTGYYTAAACTTAAAACGAAAYAGCAARGGCACCAATAGTACGCAATAATAATTATTTAATATTRTTTTTTTCCTTTTTCAAAGTTTTGTTAGCCGAAAATAAGCATTTTTCACATAACGTTTGCTTATSRTTTCAGCACTTACCGAATGGTATATGATGACGTCATCGCTGGGATGGCCATCTAGCTGCAGAACTATAAAAGTAATTAAAAGTAGTTAGTATCGGTTAACTAGTAGTTAGTATGAAATAAAATGTTATAAAACTGTATATGTGCTGTTTCTTTTGCTCGACGACCGCCTACCTCTACGGAAGTAATAATSTGTTTGAAATAAAGTACAACTTACTCCGCAACTTCCCGGRACGAAAGAGTCTGGTTCTCTCTCGCATAGGCCGTAGCTTGGAGCTTCTGAGGTGACGCACTCCCTTTTTGGGTATCTGCCCAGTCAGTATTTCCAATTGCGACTACTGAGGAAAAATTCGCAAGTCTGCTATCTTGTTCACCTGAAACCACTTTACATTTTTTTACGTTTATACTTCGTGGTCAAAAGTGACAAAAATAGAAATAAAAGTTAAAATTATGATAAGCTATTAGTGTCATAAGAAACAAGCATAATTTAATCCTGACCAATAAAAGAAGCTTCTTCTTGGGTCAACACAATTATAAAGAGGAAGACACTTACTTAATCCATTAGTCCATTAAAAAAGAGAAAAAAAAGATAAGCAAAAAAGTCGGATATAGACACTGCTGGTGGTCACTCGTGTCCTTTGGACTGAAAAACAGGCGCCTTAACCAACTGCGCCACTGGACTACGCTCATTTACATAACAATAGATAACTTGACACTTCGCCGAATAGACTACCCCAATTTGACATTATATTTTCGATAGTTGCCTAGTTAGTGCAAGGGGTTATCCATCTAAGGTCTAGGGGCCGGATAGCTTCTCCCTCACTGGCTTTTTAGTTAGCGCGAAGTTAGGACCAATTATCGGGATAGCATGGAAGAGCCGAAATCTCTAACCGGAATGTAAANAGTCCCTTGTCTTTGTAGTTTAGTTTTTTTTTTTTTTGGAGACAGACTTATCCGTAGTTCTGAACATTTTCTCGATGTCAACAATGAATTATTCTAGCAAACCCTCGTGTTCCAGACAATATATGGATATGGATATTATGATATTTAGATATTTAGACAATTCTCATAATTTTTGCAAAAGGCTGTATGTCTATATATTGTATAATATCACAAATCTGGATGGGACTTAAACTAGATTGGAACTGTCCCTTCTTATAACATTAAATGAAGTTATGAGAGAAATGTATAAGAGAAGGTCTATGAGAGAAGGTCACAAGAGAAGGTCGCTTCGACAACATCCTCTATCGAACTAAACTGTCGTACATTTCTCTGACCATTACTAATACACCAATGGCAACGGAATGTGCCGAAGACAAACAATCTGGGTGTGACCAAGAGCGAGTTGCCAGTCTGATGTCTATCCAAAAATGAAATAAAGTCATCAAAGCTGTAGCTGCAAGTACTCAATTGTGAACTGTTGTCTGTAATTAATATAAAGTCATCAAGCCTGAATGTGTACATTGTGACAACTTTAATTCTGTACGCAAGATCTGGTAAATCAGAGCCATTGGAATAAATTGATTAGTGATAAGATGTCAGTAAATGATGTTGCATGAATTATGAAACAATTCAAATACAGAGAAACTGTCATTTTGGACGTGTTATCTGTAACATCTATTTTTCCCCATCAATGTGACAGTGCTTTGCCGTAGCGATGGGGCCCGATTGTGTTTTGATACACAATCGCTAAATCTGTCACTTTTGTAAGTCGGAGTGCTTCTGCTTATTGTAAATTGTGTTCTCGTATTTGTATCTCGATACTCTCTCGTATTTATTCAAATTGCCATGTAGTATAGTACAGTATAGCTATCCATTTATTATGATGGATGTCATAACTGATATACCATTTATGCTAGCTGTAATCATCAGTCTTGCATCCTGACATTTACAATAATACAAGATATGCCGTATTAGTAAAAAGTATTTAAAAAAAATCAGAATGTATCTGCACTCTGCAGTATCCCAACTTTACTAACATTTGCAGAACGATCCTCATTACATGTAACAAATTAGAATAATAAATAAAGATAATTGGAACATTATGTAGTACTTCAGATTTCATTCCCCTTCCCCCCATCCCCAACCCCCATTGTGATGACGTTATTGGG